TTGTCTTCCCAAGTCACCATTATCAGAGGTAATTTTTCCTGATTTCCTGCAGTTGGCTGAACACCTGCCTGCCCATGGGAAAGACTGAATTAATTCCTTGTTTTGCTTTGCAGGTAAACTGTCTTTATTTCAATCTACGAATTTTTGTCACTTCTGGTCTTCTGATCCTCTATCCCATCACACTGAAGGGGGCTGAGTGAGGGTCTGTGTGGCACTTTGTTGCAGCCTGGGGTTAAACCACATTAACAAGTAATCTTGCTAGCTTGACGTTTTGTTTAAAAATACCTTTGGAGTTTTTTCCTCTACTTTTATCATTTATTTAATTTGATCCATTCTAGTCTCTGCACTTGAATTTCCTGCATGATTAATTCTATAATATTAAAACTGTGATGAAATGCAAACTTTATAAAATTGACGGATAATTATGTTTCTTATGTTAGTCAGCGAAACGAATGATGAAAAAAACACTATGGCCTGATCAAAACCATTAAATAATTTAAAATGAGGACTTCAGAATCAGGTTAGAAGAATTATATTGAAAATAATGGTTATCTTGCTTTATAAGCTTTCTGATGTGTCCTATCTTTTGCAGGGCTTTTTTCTTGAGAATGTTAAGCACATATTTGTAGTTAATTTGCTGATACTATGTGCATGAGCTATTACTTTTCTTAACTTCAAATTGTGCAGTTCATTCTTTTCATTCCTAAAAGGATAAAGGCTGGGATTTTCCAAAGGAGCTTAGAAAATTTAGGTCTAAATTTTAAAAGGTGCCTGAAGATTCAGATAGATGCTAAAGGGGATTTTTCAGAAGCATTCAGCTTTGTATTAGAAGAAATATAAATGGTTATTGAAATTCTTGAAAATCATACTGGGTTTGTATCAGTAGCCTTTAATTCCTACAGGTATTGAAATTGCCTTCTTTGACTACGTCTATTTTAGTAAGTAGTGCAACACAGCACTACAGAGCAGATTTGTAGAGCAAAATGCTGAGAAGCTGACATTCACATTTTTAGTTTTGGGGTGTTTGTCTGCAGAAGAGCACTAGTCCTGTCCCATAGACTAAATTCAAATTAGCAGATGGAGCACGTTAAATATGTCAGAGAATCCCAGAAGAATGGTTTAGAAGGAATGCCTGCAAGTCCTCTAGTCCAAAGTGCAGCCCAGTGAATCTGCTGAGTGCTGCACTCCTCTCCCAGTGAGCAGTGCTGTAGAAGTCCAGCCTGGACCTCCCAAGCTGCACCTTCTGTTATTTTTGGCTGCATCTTGTGTTATTGTTCTTGTGCTTGTATAGCATCTCTACTAAGGTAACTTTGTCTCTGTGTTTTGTTTCCTGTCCAAGTTGTGAGCACTGGTATAGAAGCACATGAAGCAAGATTGTGCATTTGCAGCCCTTTTCTAGGCAGACTTTCCCCATATATACTGCTTTACATACTGCTTTCTAGCTTGCTGCTTTCTGGATGTGAGCCCCTAGTTCAAAGCTCTCCTCGACAGATCACCATGTCTGTCTCCTGGTCCACTTTGAAAAAAGAAAACAAAGCCTTGCTGGTGACTCAGGCATGCATCCAGTTGTTCTTCTGTCCTCTACCCCTATATCTTCTATATAGCAAAAATAAAGATATTGTATAATTCATAACTGTCCATACAGGGATATTATAGCAGTTACATACTGCTGTAGGTACCTTAAATTTCAGTTTTGTCCTGCAAAGTATAGCAAGTCAATTAGAATTGCCTTAAGCTTCTACTTTATTATTATGGTTATCAGATACTGGGTGCACAATCTGGTTATGGTGAAGTAAGATTTAATTTTCCAGGCTGTCAGCTTACTGTTTGGGTACATTACCTTATACTACTGTGAAGTAAAATTTGTCCTTTCCATGGATTAGTTGCCTTTTTCAAGTTCCTCTCTGAGTTTGGCCCACAAAATCTTGTTTGAATGTTCATTGCCGCAAGGAAATATAGCAGGGTTGGAAAAAGTGCTTTGCTCTTGTGGAAGCTCTGCTGTTTTTTCCCCCATCAAGCTTTACTTTTGTTTTTATATGGTTTTGTCCTTAATTAGGCTCTTAATTACTTTCTCTGAAACCACAGTAAGTCTCATTGCTTTGTAATTCTCCTGATCTCCTGTGACTTCTTATTTTAAATATAGATGGTGTTTTATGTGAACAGATTGTTATCCTCAAAAATAATTGCTGTTGTAAAGCCTGTATTTTGCATCCTTTTCTATATCAACACTGCTTCAAACTTTATTTCATTCAAATTTTTGAAGCCAGTTAAGTCCTGTAGCCTGGAAAATGTCACATATATTGACTGTTTTTCTGGTTTTGTGCTATATTCTCTGTAGTTCTGTACTCATTGAAAAAAAGAAAAAAAATATTATACTTTTTCCATTAGCACTGTTCCATTTATGGTCACCACTGGAATAAAGAAAACAATAATTTCTCCCACAAAGAAAGTGGGAAGAAATAGGCAAGTGGATCAGCAGCAGCAGCCAACCTGGGGAAGGCAGAATCTCCGGTATGCCTTTTCACAGGATGGAAGGGTGTACAAGGCTGTGTGCAGGAGAGGGTCTGATACTTTAAGGGTGTCTGGTCAAGGACCTTTCCAATGCCAGGAGATAACTGGAAAAGGAGGAAGCCATAAACAAGAACATAGAAGGACACAAAGCTGACGAACTAACCATGAGGGAGGCAGTGATGGGAGCCAAAGCTGATCAATCACACTAATTGATGGGGACCTCTGAAAGTGTCAGAGTGTTTGTTCCAGGGAGGTAATGTAGGCATCTGATCAGGGACCTTCTCTGTTGGGAATCCAAGGGAAAAAGGAGGAAGCCAGAAACCAAACCAAGACACAGACCTGATAAAGCAAACATGGAGACAGTGACAACACTCACACTAATTGTGGATTATCAAAGAATCACAGATGCCACTTCCAGGAAGATCAACCTGGACTTTATAGCAGATAAAATTGTTAACCAGAGGAACTCTGTATCAGGAGGTTGCCAAGGATGAATAGATAAGTACAAACCCATGGGGAGCCTGCAGGGGAAGGGGATTGGTCACTTGTAAAATAGTGCAGGTCAGTACGCTGCCTGACCAAGCCCTGTGCCTGATCCCTGTAGTATGTCCTATCTTCTTATGTCTTATTAAATCTTTTCTGAGCTCCCTCTGTGTCTGTGTGTGTTGCAAGGACTAAGTGCCAGTCACTGGTGAGACCTGTATGTGTGTCAGTGGGTTCTGTGCTGGCTACTGGAGTCGGGCCAGGGGTGAGGGTGCCTGTGCTGGCAGCCACTGGAGCAGTGAGGCCTTGTGCCATCTGCTGGAGTGAGTGTGGGCCTTTAGCTTCCAGCCATTTGGACAGGGGCACTGTGCGTTCCCAGCTACTGGTGTGAGAGAGGAAAGGGAGGGGCTCAGCGCTGGCGGCTGAAGTGCCTGGGATCACATCCAGGATCATATCCAGGATCACATCCAGGATCATATCCAGGATCATATCCAGGATCACATCCAGGATCACATACAGGCTGGGATCACAGCCTGTGTGCCAAGTGCCAGCTGCTGATCTATCTCCTCCAACCAGGTGTGTGTGAGGGGTGGGGATTTTGTTAGCAAACATCAACGTGGTCCAGACAGTGAGGAGGGGGCCTTGAGTCTGTGCTGGTACATCCAGGGAGGCTTGAAAATGTGAAGTGCACGAGGGATGAGTGTGTGAGCCAGTGTGCTTGCTAGTGAGCATCAGGCTGGAGTATCTGGCAAGTAGGGCACCTGGTACTGTGTGGGTACCCCAGGGAAGGGAGGATATGGGTATGCTTGTGGATCTAGAGATTGCCATGTGTCTGCCTCCTGTCTCTACCAGCTGAAGACAAGGAGGGCACTTGGCTGGCTTGTGTTTTATGACTTCTGTGTGTGCAGGACCTCATCTGTGGCAGGTAGCTTGTGTGACCAGCTGTGTCAGTGTCGTCTATGTGTGTGTGTGTGTCCCTGGGATACGTGCAGCTTTGCCCCTAGTTGAAGTTGCAGTCAGGAAAGCAGCACCCATGTCCCTCAGGGGTCCCCAGGCACTGGACTGGGCTCCAGCAGCTGGGCAAGAGGGATCTGGGCTGGAGCTGTGGTGGCAGCAAATCTAACATCACTTAGTAGAATCATATTTTCAGGTACTGCATCATCCCTTATAAAGCCCTTTTAAAGCATTGTGGGCCAATTAGAGATAGTAGCATGACCTTCCATAGGAATACACATTCAGAGCTTCTGCCTCTCTTTTTATTAAATCGTGACTTACCTGTTGGTCTGCACTGGACAGGAGAGAGTGAACTACAATTACAATTGATCAGAATATACATACTAACAGCCTGTGTCTCCTTGCCTGCTCCTTTACTAGCTCTCAAGTGCCTGAGCCCCTGCCGTGCTCTGTCCTTCCAAGTGGGAACACAGGGTAGAGGCCTTGGCAGGCTCAGAGTGCAGCACTGGGCTGGTGCAATGTGATAAAAAATGTGGGGAAGAAGATACAGGAACATGGGCTGGGTGGGTGAGAAGGGAGGAATATATTACTTTATGATGTAGAGTGTGGGACTGGAGGGTGTAAAGGATAATGCATCTAAGTGGCAGTTTCAGTGAGAGGAGCAGGGATATGGGGGCAGCCAGCTGAATATGGAAGCTTCTTTCAGGATCAAAGGCTGGCTACTGCCTAAAATAGCTCCAAATAAAAGCTGTGTCAAAAGCTATGTTATGTGTTTTTTTAAGACATTTATTAAGTGCTTTTCAAATCTTACCCTTGTGAACAAACAGTTTTCAGCACATAGCTGCAAATGTTCAATGTACATGTTTTGCAGGTAGAATTTAAAAATGTGAGGTTTGGAAATTCAAAAGTAAAGTACATGCTCCTGTCTCTCATCTTGATGGCTGGAAACTGATCTGTTACTGGGACTATGAAAAAATGCAAGATCATGTAAGTGTGTAGGTAGGTTCTCTGCCTGTGTAAGTTATTCACTGATTTCAATGATGTTTTGGCAGCTGATGACTGGTTGATGATCCAGAGATGTTTCTTTTTATGTGTTGGCATGAACTAATGGACCATGGCTGTCGTCTGAGTGAAGGTAGGCTTGCAGTTCTGTGGTTTACAGTCTGATTTTTGCTCTGCATTTCCCTTTCAAGTGATCACTTATATAACATGTGAACTTGTTATAGTTGGTTTCTGTAAGAAGAAAAAAAGCAAATGTGTTTGAAGAGCCTACAGATCATTCTAGCTATTAATATGATACAAAATTAATAATTTTTAACAATATCTTCAGTGATGCATTGGAAATTACTATGTAATGCCATCTGGTTCAGGAAACTTTAGAACAATAATAACCTGAAGGAAGATGAGGATCGAAGAAAGTGCCAGTAGCTCTCCTGTTTTATTTCAGTTTCCTGTAATTTTATACAATAACATGTCTGATATTTTTATAAATATCTGTAGTGAAAAAAAAATCCCATATATTTCCTGGTAACTGAACTAAGGCTAGAATTTTTTTCTAAATCCCATTTCAGAGCACAACATTGATTTTATTTTGGATATATTTTTAAGATTGCTTTTGTAAATTATTTGTCCATAAAGGAGAAGTATAGAGCAATATGTCTTCTCCTATTTATGGATTCTACAGATGTGACACTGTACATGGACCTTATTCAAATATTTCTATTGTTGCAGGAAAAAGTAATCCAAACCACTAGATATACATAAGAAATTGCCTTGGCAGGCAGAACTGATTTTTTAGTGTTTATTGTTTTTTATCCGATGAGCACTTTATTCCAGGTTTTAAATCCCCTAGATGGCACTACAGAATGCAGTATTTAAATGTTTCATACAATGCTATTAAATAGATGATGTTAAATAATTTTTCTCTAGAAAAATAAACATCTGTGGGTTGCTTAACAAAATGAAATAAAAGGCAAAGCTTTTGTTTAATACATTTGTGGTATTTTGGCATGTCCTGATGTACAAAAAGTGGAACAGTATGCTAGACATGTGCCAGATCACATATCACCCTTTCTGCTCATGTGGTCCAGATGGTGGCTGTCAGTTTCAAATCTAGACTTGGGCCTCCAGGTCTGAATTGGAAAATAAATGTGTTCAATCTAAAGGGATTAAAGATCAGGAAAGAAAACAAGAGTTGTTGTTTTGTGTTAGAAACATACTTGGCAATTGAACATCATAAAATTGTCTATTGCAGAGTTGTTGTTTTACAACATGTAAGAGATTTTAATATTTTAATTGGTATTTAAATTTCATGCTTTAGTTGCAGGTATCTTACATGCTGGACCTCATGGGAATCCTGATAGTTTGTATTACCCCAGAGCATTTCTTTTGCAGTTGGTGTGTCATTGTCTGCAGATCACTGCAGTAAATACTTTACTGTACTGCTGAAAAGAGAGAAAAACATTGCCATCTGCAACTACAGCTTGCAAATTACAGCTTGCAATCGTCTGCTATTAAATAAAGACACTTTAACAATATTTTGGGTTTTAAATTAGCAATTTACATCACAAGATGCTGAAAATACTAGTCTTTTAATACAGCAATTTTTGTTTCCTTTTAACCAGGCCTCAACATGTATTGAATAAAATAAAAAAAAAGGAAAGTAATACAAACCAGTGTTTACTTAAACAATAGCCACTGACAGCAAGAGACACACAGATGGAAACCCAGTTGCTGGTATCTCAGTGGGAGCTTTCATTTGAGGACCTTGATGGGGATGTGATTGGACTGGAACACTCCAATTTACATCATGGAGAATCTATACTGATGCCTTTTTCATGATGCTGCTGTGCCAGACAAGGTCTCCTGTGAGAAACTGGTCAGGAGGGAGGGACAAAAAAGGAAAGACTTTAGTCTGAATTAGAGGAAAGAGCAGAGTTTCAAGTACTGCAAATGCAGGGTATCTTGCAATAGCCTGCTATTTTATGGACACAGCAATGGCAGAACCATGCCTTTGCATTTTTATTTTTTTTTTTAAGAATGGTAAAGAGGAGAGCAGAGGAGCTATAGGGCATATTTGATGTGTGGTGCATATTGCCCTATAGGTTAAAGAAGGAACCGAATTGCATAATGTCCTGCCAGGAAATGGCCCAAAATGTCCTTTTTTAATGTCACTTCATTTACAATGATAGAATGAAAGACTGGAGAGAAGTTGTCCATTATAATGAGTGCAGAGCTCATTCTTTCATCCAGGGAATCTTAGTGTCAGCAAAATGTATGGAGAGATTCCTGACAGAAAAAGCCCTAGATGTAATGGAAAATGCCAGCAAAGAATTCTATGAGGTAAGCAGAGTTTTCTGTTAAATTCTACCAGATGGTCCACAAAAGGCCTATAAAAGTGCTTTCCAGTTATAAATCTTAGAGAATTTTCCCTCCCAGGGCTAATCTTGTAATTGCTAATCAGCGAAAGCTACAAGTGCTTGCTTTATCTTTGAGTACACACAAAGATGTTTTACTTCTACTCTGCCTGGGCTTTTGGGGAAAGCAAATTCTTTATTATTGATGAGAAGGTAAATCTGCTGGGGCAGGTGGGGAATAGCATAAGATTCCTTGGGAAGTACAGCCAGAGCCTGCTTGGGCATTTAGTAACACAATGAGTGTTGTAGGGAATCCTTTTCTTCCACATACTTTTGTGATGCTCCTAAACTGCATATTCATTTTCTTAGCCAGCTATCACAATAGAAATCTGTACAGTCTTTTGGCCAGGTCTCCTCCATGATGATCCCTACCTTTTTTCCTGATGTTGAGCAAGTCCCTTAGGCTGCCTTGGAACTGAGCTGTGGGTGTGTACTGTGGCATGGGCAACATCCTGATCTCCTGGTTCCCCTGACTTGCAGACAGTGGGCAGTGGCAGAGGTACCCAGGGTAGCCAAATATGTAAGAGTGAGAATAGAGGGTTTGTGGTGCATAGCCACATCTCCCAGCTGGGTAAATGTGCCTCCTCTATTTAGTCTTTTTTGTTTTGTATTCTCTATATCTCCTAACTATCTCATCCTATTTGTCTGAAGATCCTGGAATCCATTTTAAGACTGTTCTAGCCAGCACCATATAATTTGAGTCCCCTGTAATACTCTCTACATGAAGTCAGCAGCAGGAGTTATATCTCTAGTAGAAAGCCACTTAGTAGCTGCCACTTACAGACTTACTGTAGTTCCTGATACCTGTCACTTGTTCTGCAAACTCTTAGGATGAGGTTTATATCTCACCATTTGCCAGTATAAAGCTTAGCATAATCTCAACTGGCCTATGTAGAGACAGTTGTGATACAATTACTTTTCAAAATGCATCTTTTGTTATTGGAAAGGTAAATTATTATCATCATTTAGGTCATTTTTTCTTAATTCTTTTTATTTTTTCGCTGATAAAAAGAACTGTTTCACAACAGTAGAGTATACAAATTTTCACAGTAAGAGAAGAAAAGGAAAAAATTCTTTTAATAAAAATTTAATCGTACTGAAATGTAGGCAGTTATACTCAAAGCACATTCTAGCCTCAGAACATTGTTATTTGTCAAAAGTTTGTGAAGTGCAATTCCTTCATTGCATTCTTGGTGCCTGCTGAGTAGCTAAGAAATTTGAGTCATGATTCCAGCAAAACATGGCAAAACCTGCTTAGATTCTTTCAGTGATTTGCCAGCAAAAAGTGCTAGTGCAATTACTAACTTGCCTTTTTTAGACTGTTTAGTCTGATTAGTCATCTCTCTGATACTCATTATCATTCCACATTATAATTTCACGTAAGAACTGATGCCATACATAGTGTTTAAATGTCAGATCGGTCTGCATTCAGTCTTGTGAGTCCTGTTCAGCTGATTTTTGTATCTAACTCCACTGCTTCAGCTCTGGTTTTCTGCTTCAGAAACCCAATCCAGAGGACACTGTTCTTGGCTTTTTATTAGGGGTTATTTATAGTGCCTTTTGGTGGCAAGGATTGGTGGATAGTGGATGGATTTCCATTTCCCTGCTGGTTATGGACTTCTATTTAATTTTAAAAGGCTTTTTATTTATTTATTTATTTATTTTTAATGATTGACCATACATCCTGTCACTAAAGTGTAACTGAACTCACTTTAATTTCTCATAACAAAATTGAGAGATGCCATTAATCTACTACTACTATTAGGAACAAAAATATAGGTGCTTATACCTTTGTTAATGAATGTTCAGTCTTTTCTGAACCACTGTTTCTGTATGAGAGCTATGCATATATTTCTTAAACTGTGGAATAGCTATAATTTCTGTATATGCTTGTTAGAAGGCTGTGTTTAATACTGGAGACTTCATATAGTTCTCAGCTTGAATTAAATATATCCTTTTCTTTTTCAAGAAGAAAAGGCCATTTTCCCTGTTTTATTAGTAATATAATAATTATCTGTGGACTGTTAAACAAAATGGGAATAAAATGTGAATGTTTACATTTGCACACATATAATTCTTATTACACAGCTTTTGACATGAATCCCTTGAGCTGGATGAAGGCCAGTTTATTTCCTAACCTATCATAGGACAGCTGGAGGCCATGTGTAACTGCAGACTTGCCAAATCCAACAATTCTGGCTCATGGGAATTTGGATCAGAGAGACTGTGGCTGTCCAAGACTGCTTCATAGAGAAGCATAATTTAGACATGGTCCCTGTAATCCTGTCAAAGACAGTCTGCAGATAGTCTGAAAAAAAAAATAAGGAGAATTTTCAAGAGATTAAGAAGTTCAATAAAAAGATAGGCATGCTGTATTGTGGAAAAGGACAGGTTTTTATTTTGAGTTTTGTGATGGAGCGAAGATTTTCCTGATGCTAAACTTAAAACTAGTGGGCATAAAACTGGATGTTCTCATCCCTGGTGACTCAGAAGCAGAGCGAGACATGATTGTTCTTAAAAAATTCTCAAGTTGTTTATTAGTTTGAATGTGTCTGGACAGGCACATAAGATGAAGTGTGTACAGTCTGTTCCATGCAAACTTTCAGAATGTGACCTTTAGAAGTGTATAGTAGAATTTAGAAAATAGTAGAAAAGGTAATTTTTTGAATAGTTTTTGAAAGACATTACTTTGGGAGTTGAGATTCTTGGCAGACTTCAG